GCAGATGACACACACATACTCAGAGACAAAGGCCGAAAGATGGAGGACCACAGGTCACTGAATTCCCTGTGTCTAGTTTCCCTGAAATTCAGGTCTGCCACTAGTTGAGTCTTCTGAGCTGCTAAATCTTACCCCTTCCTTTTTTCTTTGATGTGAGTAGGGTTTCAATAGTTGGCATCAGAAAGTCCCCCGTGGAAAAAAATGACAGGAAAAAGAAAGATAAGATCGCAGAAATACAAAAATATCATTAGGAGAGAATAATTATACATCTTGGGGGCAGACATCGTCACTTTGTCACAAGAGCATTAACATATAATATAATTTAGCAGCTACTTGGTTTATAGTCATTAAGCATCTTATCAAAAAAAGACAAAATAGTAAAAAATAAAAGCATACTTTCATAATTTCTGTATTTCTGACAAAGAGGGAGGGCCATGAAATTAAGGTTATGTTCCAAAGTAAGAGGGGACAGTCCTAAGACATGCACACCACCTAGAAGTGGCCTACAAGAGATGTCCATAAATATATCAATAGGCAGTGGTAAGCACACAATATTTGACACAATATTAGACACCATTTGTAGATGTTAGCAATTGGCTTAATCTGAAAACATTCTTCAGGTTGATAACAGAGCTCAAGAAATAAAGGGCCTAGGGAATGTATCTCATTCATCTTAAAAATCTGAACTCTGCAGATATTGGGGGCTTAATTAGTGTCACCAGTGGAAGTTAGACCCAATCTCTGGACTCCCAGGCTGGTCTTCTTTTTGCTGTCTCTCAATACCAATATGAGATGGCTGAACTGATCAGAAACAACAAACACAAAATTACAACACTGTATCAGAATTGTATATGTGCTGTAAAAATAATGCTAACATTTTGTACTCACGAAAAATTCAAGTTTTTAAGAGGTATTATAAAAAACTATAATGAGCCAGGGATTTAGCTCAGTGACCTAAGCATCTGCCTGGCATGCACGAGGTCTGATCCCCAGTACCAAACAAAAATAAAACCCAACTATAAACAAAGTACACTGTCTGTAAGAGAGTTTAGGTTACTTACTCAGGGAAGAAACATCTGGGTGGAAATTCATGCTTTACTCAGTCAGCTTTCAGCCAAAATTTGTAAAAGGTGAGCTGCTGTCCCAACCATCATCATGTGGAGAGATGACAATCACCACCTGAAATCACTTTTAAGTTTCCCCAAAATATAGAGAAATGAACCTAATCTTATCTCCACAGCCCTTTTAATTTCCATAGAACTTTAACTTTTTAAAAGGAGCTACCACTATCAAGAAATCCAACTACTTGGGGACTGGGGGTTTAGCTCAGCGGCATAAGCGCCTGCCTTGCAAGCAGGCAGTTGTGAGTTCAATCCCTGGTACCGATAAAAAGGAAAAAGACCAAAAAAAAAAAAAAAAAAAAAGAGAGAGAAATCCAACTACTTACAGTTCCTAAGGACCTAAAAGAGCTGTCTCTGGGAGGATGAAAGTTTACCCTGTTTCTGCCCTTGTTAACACCACCTCATTTTGGGGTACCATGACTCTTATTTCCTTGAATCTTAAAATTTAAAAATTGAATATAACGTCAAATCAAGCTTGGCTTTCTCTATATAATTTTCCAGACATGTTTTAAAAATGCTTTGCATGCTTAGGGGTCAAAACTCAAAGGTTTAAGAATCGCTGAGGACTGGAAGAAAGCAGACATGAGGCAGCTTGTCCTCTGCAGTGATGGAATGATGTTCCTTAGCAGCACTTTGCAAACTATGCAGGCCAGAGAGCAGAGGGCAGCAAATTCCACTCAAGAGAGGAAAACAAGAGACCACTGGTGCAAGACCTCAGAGTTCACATCATGCTCTGTACCATTTGCTCTGCTGGTTTTTTTACTAGTACATTTGCAGTAGACAATGTATACATCATAACACATCTTAATTTCTTTTTTATCCACTCCCCTTCCCTTCCTTCTTGATGTTCCTGCCGTTTGAGAAAGATCTATCTCCGTACTTCCTGTTCTCCATCTTTTAATTTTGCTCTTTACACTTTGGGTTTCTCACATAAGAGAAAGTATGAGATACGTGTGTGTCTGATTTATTTCACTTAGCATTATGGTCTTGAGGTGAACCCATTTTCCTACAAATGACTCAACTTTATCCTTGTAGCAGAATAGAGCTCCAGTGTGTGTGCAGACCACATTTTCTTTTTCTATTAATCTGTTGCTGGACATACCGGGTGCTTCCAAGATTTCTTCCTATTAAATGCCCTCTGGTGTTAGCCCGACCGACGGTCTTCAGTGGCCTGCATTTGGCTGGACAATGCTACTCGCTCAGGGAACCCAAAACCTTCTCATCTCTCAGAGCTCAGTTCGGGTCAAACCTCTTTTGTGACATTAGTCCTCACTCAATGGTCTGATGCCCAGGCCAGTTCTCTTTTCTCCCTCAAAGGGCAGCTCCTCTGGTTCTGTGGGGTCTGGACAAGATGTGCGTGGACTCTGCTGAAGTAGCCAAAGAACAAGCTGATTTCAAAGTGAAGATGGCAGCGCTGAAAGAAAACTCCACAGTGTACAGCCTTCCACGAAGGCTTAGATACGGTCCTGGATTCGCGTCAGGCTGCCTTTCCTTTCACTTCCCAGGAAAACATTTGCTTTCTTCCATCTATAGCAATCATAGACACAAAAAAAGCATTATCCTTGGCCTAACCTGCGGCCCCTTGACAAGATATAACTGAGTTTTTAAAACGCATTTTGCTAGTTATTCAATATTTCTGAACCTACTTGAAAGACAGCCACCTTGTTATCTTCCAGTTTCTCAAATCACTTGGTTTATCTATACTTACATTATATTTAACATAAGTCCTAGCTTTTACCAGGCACTCTTTTAAACTGATTGCATATATTAATTGTCCTACCAAACCTCTATTACTCTTATTCCTATTTTACAGATGAGGAAGCTGAGGTACAGAGAGAAGATGAGTAAGGGCATGTGGCTGGCAAGTTCCAGAGCCAGGATTTGGCCCCAGATGCCTGACCTCTGAGGCCACATTACAACTATGTGCCCATTTATCTCACACTTTCAGCCTCCACCACCTGTCTTAGGCCCCTTGCTCACCCTTTACCCCAGACCTTCGCTTTGTGGTCAGAGACCCTGCTGCCCTCCTTCAAAGGCATCTCCCAAATCAACAGAGCTAAATTTCTTCCAATTGGGCCGAAACCACTTCAACGACGCTTGACTATTCTTTGCAAACACTCCCTAATAGCAGGCAAGGTGCCTGCGCCTGCTATTCCGGTGCTTTGGCCAGAGACACACCCACCTCTTAAAATGCTCCAACCATTTTCTCTCCTTGAATTACTGGTTGGGATATTTACAAGTGAAAAGTTCAACCAGAAAATGCCTTGATCTGCCGAACACTGTTGGGAGAATATGGATCCCATAATCTGGAGTGGGACACGTGAGGGGGTGTGGGTTAGGAGCTGGGTATTTGTTAACTATAAGACTTTAAAGCCTTCACTTTTGAAGTCCAGAACTGCAAGAGCTTCGGAAATAGAAAGGAAGGGGGAGGATTCAGAATGCATTTCAGAAAGAACAATGCGTTGGACTTGGCGGGCAACTGCCTCTAAGGGAGAGGTACAGAAGTAGGTTAAAATGATCCCGCCACTTTGGTCCTGAATGATTCTAATGAGACTGTCATTACCCGAAATTGGTATATCTGTAAACTAATCTCATATAGGGAGAACAAAAAGTTCATGTTAGAATCTTTGACATCATCCCTCTTCAGCAGTTGGGAGACACCCTCAGTGAGCATTTAATGAGACCCCTTCATGCGTCTAACAAATGCACAGGATGTTATGTCTCCAACGATAATTAGCTGAGCAGGAGGACACCTTTCCACAGGCCTTGTGGATGGGTATGCCAGAGCATTTGACGGTTAAGATCCTTTGTAACCCTCTCAACAGGGGTGGACTTTGGGGTAGGATTTAAAGGCAGAGTATAGCTTACTATATAGTCTGACTCAAACAACATAAACTTTAAAAAATCCTGTGAAACTGGCAGAAGTCATTCCTTAAATGGCAAACTGTTTGTGTGCTAGATTCGCTTGGTCTTACCTCATAATGATCTTTTAAAATAACTCTTAAAATAAATTGAGTCTTGCCCGGACAATGCCAGCCAAGTCCACAGATTAACTGGTGAGAGCAGGCTTTTGGGGACCGAGCTGTTGTTGCGGTCAGGTACTCAAGGTAGAAAAGCTAAAAGACTTTGCACAGTGCCAGCGGAGCTCAATAGACAAGGCCTAGAATGATGTGTTCAAAGACACCCAGAGAAGTAGACAATGTCATGAAACAGTATTTCAAACATTCGAGTAAGGGACGATTCGTGCTGGGAACTGACCCCACACCTCTGGTGAGTGTACCCCACCCCCCGACTTCACAGAAGCCCAGGGGTAGCCGGCAGGCTCATGCATGACCACTGCAGCGATTTCCAGCAGCTCCCTCCGTTGGGTCTCCCTCGGCCCGACCCCTCACTTCCAGCGAAGTCTGCTGTCCTCCTCCGAGGGACTCCTGGCCGCGGGTTCAGCTTCTGCCCGGGCTTCCGGCCCCAGTGCTCGCGAGCGCCAGGTTTTCGGAGACTGTGGGTAGGGGAAATAAATCCAGTCCGGGTTTTGTCGGGACGGGGTGGGGGGACCGGGCTGCGAGGAATGGCTCGAGAAGAGGGGGGCCGCGGTGGAAAAGACGCCACACAAACAGCTCGCGCCCAGGGTCGGCGGCGGTAGGCCCGGAGCGCGCGGGCGGGCGCAGCGGGCCGGGAGAGGCGCGCGCCGGCCGGGCCGCATGGAGCGCAGCGCGGCCCGCGGCCCCGGGGCGGAGGAGGCGGAGGTGGAGGCGGCGGCGGCGGCGGCAGCGGAGGAGGCGGCGGCAGCGCGCCGCTCGCTCACACCCACCCCCGCCCGCGGCCGCCGCGCCGCCCCGCCGTAGCCCCCGGCCGCCGGCGTCCCCGCGGGCCGGTCCAGCGAAGGCGGCGCCCGCGCTCCGTAGCCAGTGGCAGTCGCGCGGCCCGGCAGGCCGCCCTGCAGCCCCGCGGCCGGGAGGAGAAGGAGGTGGAGGAGGAGGCGCGAACTCCGGCCCCGCGCCGCGGCCCCGCGTCCGGCATGCAGGCGCGGCGTCTGGCCAAGCGCTCCAGCCTGGGCGGCCGCCGCGGGGGCGCCGCGCTGCAGCCGGCCGGGCCCGCGCCCGCGCCCGCCAGGGAAGCCGCGCTGCTGCCCGCGCTCCCGGCCCCGGAGAGCTGGAGGCCGCCGCTGCCCCCTCCGCGCGGCGCAGGCTCCGGCTCCGGCTCCGGCTCCGGCTCCGGCTCCGGCTCCGGCTCGGGCTGCACTCGGGCCGCGGGGGCCGCCGCCGTCTCGTCGCCCGTGCTGCTGCTGCTGGGCGAGGAGGACGAGGACGAGGAGGGCGCGGGCCGGCGGCGCAGGGGGCTCGGGCGCGTGGAGGAGAGGCCCCGAGGGGGCACGGAGGAGGAGGAGGACGACGAGGACGACGAGGACGAGGAGGTGGTCGTCGAGGTTGTGGACGACGACGACGAGGATGGCGAGGAGCGTCTGGTGGCCCTGGGACCCGGCCGCGCGCTCCCCAAGGGCCCGGCCCGGGGCGCGCTGAAGGTGCGTGTGGGGCGCGGCGACTCGCGGGACCGCAGCCCGGCCGGGAGGGGTGTGTCAGGCGGCGGCGCGGGAACTGTTGATCCGCGCGCGCCTGGGCCACCGGTCCCGGCTCCTCGGGCCGGCGCCTCGTCGCCTAGGGCGCGTGCGAGAGCAGGACGCTTCTCCCCCGCCGGCTGCGGGACCCCGGCGCGGGGGAGGCCAGCGCCGCTTTGCGCTTGGTGGGGACTGGCGAGGGGGTCTGGGGGGCGTGAGCTTCTTATTCTTCCCTAATTTTTCCCTAAGGAACCCGGCGTGTCTCTCCCCTTTTTATATTGAGGGCCATTCGAGCTTATTGAAACTAGCAAGCTGCTTTTCTTGTGTCAATCTTGCAACCTTTTTCTTCACCCGGGAACAGTCGTGGATACGTTTCCACCGCGGACACTCGGGTGGGAACCTGTAAGCCCGGTGCGGCAGAACCCAAACGCTGGGTTTCCTGGTGCATTTTACTAGCGGCTTCTGGCATTGCCCCTTCGCCCTCCCACGTTTAAACTCGACCTCGTTTATCATTTTGGTGCCCCTCCCCCAAGTTGCAAGTAAGGAAAAAGAACATCGGAAAGGAGTGAGGGAAGGTGTCATTTAAAATGGATGTGAGTTTCAGCAGAGAATTCCAGCCAAGTCCCTTGTGCGTGGAAGCACGAAGAGATCTTTCCGTTTGCGTCTCTTCAGGAGATAAGGGGTTTATTATTACACAACTGACTGGCTGGGTTTTCAGGCATGTGATTGGACAAAGCAAACCACGTTGAGGTTCATGCTCCGTGTATGTTGCTAAGAAGTTTTGAATGCAGCAAGTGGTGAGCTGTGGAGCAAGTGCTTTTTCTTGAGAGTGGTTCTTCAAATCAGCTGAGTAACTGTTAAGAGTTTTCAAAAGGTGTTGATGTTTCAGGGAGAAAAAAATCCATAAACAGTAAGCTTAATAGATACAGACTATTTAAAATAGTCTTTTGGAGCTCACCACCCCTTCTTTAAAGTTAGTTGCTCAAAGCTTGAAATTGCATTTCTAAAGAAATGTTAAACATCAGCCATTAGAAGAGTCCCCAGAGTGGACAGGGGCACAGCTTTCTTTCCTAGACCACCCTGGAAGTACTAGCTCGGGAGTGAGACATTTGCAGCAAAGAGGCATTTGGGATGATCGTTTTTGACAGCTGCTTGTTGGAATCTGCACTGTGACTACACTCATTACCATGGTCCACTGAAAAGCCTGCATTGTATGGCTGCAGGATGTAGCTGGGTTTGAATTAAGTCACATGATACCAGTGACACTGAAAAACAAGAGTAGTGACTCCTTCATGGTGAAAATGTGTCTTGTGATTTGAATAGTGCTTGCACACTTTGTGATAGAAAAATTAACACAGTAATAATTTATGCTGTGTGATTGAAGCATACCCAGTGTAGGGTGAAAAAAAAATCAGCTCTAAAAACAGAATAACTAGGGTGTGATAATTCACATTATCAAAAAAGATTTTTCACATCTCTGAGCAAATTTCTTTTAAATTCTTTCAGATGTCAACAGCTTAGTCATGTATAAAGCATGTGCAGAATAAATGTAAGTTTGACAACACCTTGGGCCAGTCTGGGCCACATAGTGAAACCCTGTCTAAAGAAGCAAACCAGCCTTAAAGCAATATCACATCTATATGTTCATTTAGTCAACAAGTACTCATTGAGCATCTACTGTATAATACCAGCTGCTGTTCCAGAACACAAAACAGGGAATACCTTTCTGTAGCTTATGTCTAATGAGGTATCATGGCAACAATGAAATATATAAGTAAATTAATAAGCATGGTACTTGAGATTGTTATGCATGCTGGAGGCAAATAAAGATATGTTAGAGTCTAGGAAGAAAAGAGAAAGCTTTTCAAGGACTCCTCTTAGGGAGATTTGATCTGAGTTCTAAGACTCTGCTTGAAAACAAGCTTTTCAGGCGCAGGAAATGGCAGTTGCAAGGAGAAAAAAGATGAATGTGGCTGGAACTGAGTGGGAATGAGAGATGTCTGAGACAGGCCAGGGGCAGCAGACTAGCAAAGGTGAGTCCTCTTAAGGTAGACTGTGAAGTCTGTGGCAAGCTTTAAGTAAGGCAGTTTATGCATGCCAGGTGCTTTGTATTTCTCAGAGGACAATGCTGTGTGAATAGGGAACAGCAGTGAGGGCAGAGAGACACGGCCAGTGGCTAAGGGCCACTGAGAGGTGACAGCTGATTGGAGTTAGAGGTTGTAGAGCAGAATTAGGGGTGGGAGCTGGAGACTGTAATAAACCAGCCTAGCCCTGTTGATGAGTTGGGTTTGAGAGAGGGTATGAAGGAAAGGGAGGAATCCCCGATAAGGGACGAGGGCCCCTGGGAAGGCTGATAAAATGTGCCATCTTCTGGGATTGAGCAAACTGGGAGAGCTGACATTGGATGCTCTGTTTTGGACACATGAAGTGTGAGATGATCAATGTGAAGCAGAAGCTGTAATTAGGCCACTAGTTTTAGGATGTGGATGAGGAGGAACTCTAGGCTGGAGAGAGCATGCTGATAGCAGTTACAGCCCAGGTGCTACAAGCAAGCTGAGAGCTGAGAGCCTTGCTTCAGTTTGGGTCCAGAGTGAGAAGCCAGTGCAGATGTTGAGAACGACATCCAAATCATTAGAAAATACTGAGCCCAGTAAGCCAAAGAGGAGACATTCCAGGCAGTGGGGAGTAAGGAACTGCACTGAATACCACTGAGATATTGAATAAACAGAAGGTAGAGGCTGGTTCATTTGGTTGAGCTAATACAGAACTGAGTGTTATGCTTGGTGAAAGAAGTCTGTGATATGACTGCAGGAAACCAGAAATGAATGTGAGGTGAAGATGTAGGGGCACTTATGAAAGCTTCTTTTGTCATGTTTTCTTGTAAAGCAGCACAAAGAGAAGAGAAAGCATGGTTTGGTTTTGTTTTAAAGATGGGATACAGTAGATTCTAGTATAGTGACTACAGAATGATAGAAATTATCTGGAAGAGGGCAAATGCACTTGTTCTCATTTTTTTCCTTCTCTCTCTCTCTCTCTCTCTCTCTCTCTCTGTCTCTCTCAGACAGAGTCTTTCTCTGTAGTCTAGGGTGACCTCAAACCCCTGATCCTCCTGCCTCAGCCTCTTGAGTGCTGGAATTACTAGGGTCCACTATCACATCTGGCAAGTGTATTAGTTTCCTCTTGTTGTGTAATAAATCACCATACACTTCTTGTCCTGAAATAGTTCTTGTGAGTTAGGAGTCTTGTCTTAACTGGGTGTGCTGCTACAAGTCTCAGGAGGCTGCAGTGCAGGGGTGAGGTTGGATGGTCTGGCCAGGGAAGAAGTCATTTTCACGCTTACTCATGTTATAGAAGAACATCTGTAAGACCTAGGGTCCCAGTTTCTTATTGGCTGTCACCTAAGGGCTGCCCTCAGCTTCTGGGCTTCCTGTCCTCCAGCCCACACTCACTTCCTGCAGTTCTGGGTCATGCAGGTGTCCTAAGCAGGGCCTCTCCCCACACCAAGCATCAAGGAGAAGAGAATCTTGGTGTCTGTCTGCTGGCAAATGGAGTCTCCAATGGTGCAGTAGCATTGGGGTAGCTGTCATGATCTTTGCCATATTTTATTAGTTAGGAGTGTTATGTTCCACTCACACTTGAGGAATTATACAAGGGCCTGAACACCAATGGGCAGTGTCATTGAGGGTCCCCTTAGAGAGGAATCAAAGGTACAGAGGGGTCCCCTTAGAGCAGAACCAAAAGGCAGTCCTTGGAAATCATTGGGAAGGGACTAGAACCCAAGTAAAGGATTTGCCTTCGGACTCTTGATCCACCGGGAGGAGGTGGAAAAGGTGAGCTCATTTGAGGGTATATTTTCTGTGGGCCGAGTTAGATGAAGGAGCACTTGTCCATGGCCTCTGTTTTTCCTGTGCTAGAGAAGGGAAGGCAGCTGAGGATGAGGGAGATTTGAAGGAAGAGTTGGAGGCACGAAACAGTGTTTGGGGAGTAGGAAAGCAGGGTAGGGAGATGAAATAGGGCTGCCAGACAGCATCAAGGACCCATCCAAGTTGGGTAGTTTGGCACTTACAGGGTAAGTAATCCATCTGGGTGTATATTTTCCCAACTTCATTTTCTCATCCCATCCATAAAATAAGAATCATGAAAGCGATACCAGCAATACCAGCTAACATTTATTGAGTGCTTATTATGGCCAGTACAAGTTGAAGGGTGCAGTACTACTTAAGCTTCATTACATGTCTGTAGGTAACCATGTTTTATACGTTAGGCGTTATCAGTGTGCGTATGTGCGGGCACACACGCATTTGTGTGTTAATGGATATTGAACTCAGCATTCACACTGAGCTATGTTCCCAGCCTTTTTTATTTTCTGAGTCAGGGTCTTGCTAAGTCACTAAATTGTGCAGGCGGAGCTCAAAGTTGCTCTTCCTGCCTCAGCTTCCCAGAGTGCTGTGATTACAGACATGCACTGTCTCACCCAGTTAAACATGGATAACTCTTTGGGGCAGAGCAGGGATTGGAACCCTGGACAAAACTCGTATCTTATGCAGGAGACTAGGCCACCTCCTTTGGAAAAAACAGCTGCTTCAGCAGGGGTGGGGTTTCACCTGCCACCAAAGGAGGCAGATGTATTGCTGGGGGAGTTGTCAAGGATTCAACTTTGAAATGGTTGATGGGATCTAAGAACAGTGAGGACAGAAGGAGGTTGGGCTGGGGATGGTGAAGATTCATGGGTTGGTGGACTGGAGAAACAAAGGATAAACTGCATAAAATAAAATACAGTAATAAAACCCATGGAAATAGAATTCCAAAGTAATTTAAAAACATATTTGCAGAATTCTCGGAGACAATAACTGTATTAAATAATTTATGTAAAGTAGGGTCTTCTGAGAATTTCTGAATTGAGAGTCAGCCCCAGTCTCTAATTGAGGATCCTGACTTAGCAGTGAAGTGTCACACTCCACAAGAGA